AAAAAATGAGTGAAAACAATCCCACGGACAATGCGACGGATTTAAGGTTATGTCAAGGTAGGTCTCTTGTGAATATCAATTGATTGTTAGGTTTTCTCTTCTGAAATTACATTATGACGCAGTCACATACATTATTAATATAAATACGTTTTCCAGGCAAGCACTTCCACTGGTTCAAAAAAGGAAAATTGCACAATATTACCGTGATTACAGAGCACGGAAGCGAGCGGAGCAGGAAAAAGAGTCGTTGAATATAACTAGTGATCCTTCTACGACTGCTGATTCTTCTACAATTAACGTCGCAGGTTGCGAAGTTTAACTTCTTCCGCGCGGAGGGACTCCACGCACTATTATTATTATTATTTTTTTTTGTTGTTGCTATTTACGCTGAATTTAATCAAATCTCATTTCGGGTATGAAAGAAGGGTATTGGGTTGTTTGGAAAGTAATTTCATTTTTATAACAGAGAACTTAATTATCTTTTTTCACTGCCAACTTCACACTCAAGTCGCATATATATTATCAGTATATATTTTGACAGCTTATATAGCAATTCTTGCTTGTGAAAAAGTTCGATTGATTCCAAGCGTTAGTTTCTGGTTGGTGTCCTTTCAAGTACGGAAAGTGAAGATCAGTATTCTCGGCACAATTTTCTTTTTATACTACCGAGAAAGTAAAAATACTGTTCAAGCAAGAAAAAAATTACTCCATGTGTATGGCGAAGATGTGTGGACAGTACGCTTGTGCCAAAACTGGTTTGCAAAATTTCGATCCGGCAATTTTGATGTTGAAATGCTCGACGTTTTGGAAGGTTAATTGAAGTTGATGAAGACACAATACAGGCATTTATTGATGAATATGGCGAATAAAAACTCGTGATATCGCTGAGTGATTAAATTTATCGAATTCGTTCTTTCATGGAAACGCCTAGGCTTATTCTCAACGCTCGAAATATAGGTTCTTTATATTCTTACGTCTTATAATTTGTGCCGTCTCATTGACGTCTGTGCTTTTCAAACTTCAAGAAAATGATCCATATTTGAAGAGCATCATCACTGAGGACGAGAAATTGGTTGTCCACAATATTTGTATTGATCTCTACAAAAATTTTTAGACTGTAAAACTTACCTCTGATCAGGGACCGATCAAGACAAATTCAGGTCCAAGGCCCACCAAATTTTCCGGGCCCCTTACGAAATATTTCGAAATTAAATTTCTGAAGAATAGTCCTAACAATAAAAAGAATCGATTGAACTGCATGATGCAAGACAAACATTCAAAGAAATTTTGAAAACAGACAATTGAAGATTATTTTTCTAAGGTAACATTTACGCATCTATATGTTAAAGCTAAATATAAAACAACAAAACAATGTTGTACCAAAATAAAAATAGTTTGGTGACCACAAATAATTGAAATCAGTGATCTTTGCTAAAAGTCACTGATTAGCTGGATTGTTTTTTATTGCAAGCTGTAATTATTTTTTTATTTAGTACTTAAACCAACACAAAGCTAGTCGACTTTTCATTAGATTTAACGATAAGTTCAGCATGTTTGCTAAGATATTAAGGTTATTAATTATAATTTTTATTAAAAATCACAATCAAAAAATATTCAAAAGTGCCAAAATTATATCTACTCATAGAAAATTGAAAACACATTTAACTAATAATTTATTTAAATATAACACTTTTAAAAAAAAATTAAAATTCAGTGCATTCACTTAAGCCATTGACGTAAAAATTGCACCAATTCAAATTTAGCTGTACTTTTGAATTTGATTCGTGCAATGTTTACACGAGTTTGGTTTATCACAATATAAAGAAAATTTGAAATAAAAAATGCATTTTTTTGAGAAAAGCTGCTTCATTCAGTATTTAAAAAAATAGTAATGTGGACTTTTTACTAATTTTAGAGGGCCCCCAGAAAGTGTGGGCCCTAGGGCCTAGGCTATAATCAGGCCCTGCCTCTGATGAGGACAAAAATCACCTGGATCCGTATTTCGTCAGTAAAGAAAAACAAATTTATGAGCTCGGAATCATGTTACTGCTAGAAAGGTGGTAAAAGTATTTGACCAGAACGGACTATATACTATTCAATAGAATATTTACGAATGAAAAGAAAATCGTCTTTCATTTTTATGAATGAAAAAACGAAATTACTCTCTGAACAACCTAATGGAATATGATTAAGAAACAAGCTTATTCTGCCATACTCATTGGTCTACACATATTGCCATTCGATAAATTTTTTTTTTGTTGTTTTTTTTTTTTTTTTGCTATCTGCGGTGAATTTAATCAATTCTAATATCGGGTACATAAAGATATTTAAAAAATTGCTCAAAATCGTACCTCTTTACGTCGCTCCAATATTTGAAAAACCACACAAATTGATAACTTATATTCAATATAGCCGAAATAGTATGAGCTTCACCTGTTATTTTTGTTATATCGTAGAAGTTCGAGAATTGCATATTCAATTTCGTGATATTTTTCGACGTTAGCTGACGTAGAAATTCGCATACATTATAGAATAGTATCGGTATTGTAAAAAAAAGAAGAAAAAAAATTCAAATTATGATGCAGCAACTCAACTCAAAACAATTGGTTTGACTTTTACGAAATCATTTTGTCGGCCGAAAACAAAGCTTTCCTTATAATTCAACACCCGCTTTCAATGTGTTACCAAATAAAAAGATAATAACACATCCGTCTGCTCAAGTACCAGGCAGTTACAGCGAAAATTACCACAACCCGACCTCTCAACTTTAATGGGTCCTCTTGTTTTTAAATGGCATCCTTTCCTACCACTCAGAACAATTCTTTTTTTTAGCAGACGATAATAAAAATAAAATAAACTTTGAAATCCTGAATCGCCACTCAACTCCGCTCCGTGAAATGTTTACATAAGATTGTGGGTGGTGTTAGGGTAATAATAACAATAATTTTCCAACAGTTCTAGGCACAGACAATTACTTTAATTTTTCTGTTCTACCTGCCCGGTCTTCAAAATGGTGTCAGCATGTTGTCCAGTTGTGTAGAAAATCCTTTTAAGTTTGTAAGGTTTCGGAGGGTTGTCACGGAATGACAAAATTATTACTGGCGGTTGCAGTTATACGTGTGTTGTACGTACAATATCTTCTTATTCCGTTCAAATTACTGGGCGTGAGGATCAAAAAGGGTGGCACACCTCCAGAGAATTGTTTGGTATTTAAACGTGAGGTGTTTGGGCAACAAAGCAACCTCCTCACTTAAATTCTCATTTTCTTCTTTGGTATTGCGTTATTATTATTTGTGAAAGAAACGCTTGGGAGTTATACTCTATTAATTTTAACGTTTTCTGTATCAGTCATAATACCGATATTATTGTATTTATTAATTAAATTAATTACCTGGATTAGAAATAAATATAATTTGATAGCAATC